GCTCTCCTCTCCCGCCCGCTCTCCTGCGGACGCGCAATCCTCCCGCAGCCGGCGCCTCCGCCTCCGCCTCCGCCTCCGCCGGGTCCCGCCGCCGGGAACCCTCCTTCACCTCAGACCCTGGCCGTTCCTCCTCCGCAGGCCCCGTCCTGTGTGGCCCCTCACTTCCCGGGCTCCCCGTAGATGTCCTCTCCTCTCCGTGACTTGTATTACTTGTCACTCTAAAGTTTCCAGGCGACTTCAGGTTTGCTGGGGAGTCCGCGCGCGGTGCCTTCAGGAGTTGCCTGCAGCCACCGCGTGTGGGCCGGACCGGACCGGACCGGGCCCGGAGCTCAGCAGTTCCCTCTGGCTGGGACCGCGTTTGGTGTCCTTTTTAGTACGAAGCCTCCACCTCGGCCTGTCGGCCCGGCTCTGCCTCCCCGGCTTTTGCCCGGGGACTCGGGGCAAACCCCAGGCCTTGGCCCTTTCGACGCTGAACTCTGTGAAACGGGCCAGGCAGAAATCCGATTTCCGTTAAAACCTTCGCCTTAAAGCTGCCTAATTTCCAGGGCCCCTGAGAAGGGGACTGTGCGGAGGCCCGGTGCTGTTCCCGCCGAGCCAGCGCCGACCCTCCGAGCTCGGGCTCCTGGGTCACCGGGCGGCGGGACCCGGCCGTGGGGCGGGGCAGCCGGGGTTTGGGGCTGAATTCCTGAGACATCACCGCTCTCGGGCTGGCCAGACACGGAGCGACTAAACCTTTAACTTTCTAGTTCAGTCATGATGCAGAGGAAGGTTCAGGCCCTTCTCTACCGACAGAAGTGAGGGGGTTTTCTCCCTAAGAAAGTGTAGAGAAAGGAGCACGTACAGGGTTTGGAGTCAGACAAATCTGGGTCAAATCCCAGGTTAAGTCGCTGTCACTTGCCACCGCGTCCTTGGGGAGGTGACAGCCTCACCGAGCGTGTTTCCCCAGGGGCTGCTGTGAGGGGTCAGAGGTCGCCGGCAGGCTGTGGGTGCTGAAGCGACGATCCTCTCAGGGTGCAGGCTCTGTCTCCTCGGGAGGACGCCTCGTTTTCTCGCCCTCGTGACCCTGGCAGCGTGACCCTAACCGTGCCCGTGGAAAAGGACGTTAGACCCACTTTGCTGTATGTGCCCAGTGACACAGCTTCCTTCAGTGTCCCGCTGTTCTTCAACATTCTGAGTTCCTACCGTGGGGCAGGCACTCTGCTGGGTGCTGGGAACGCAAATGCATGTAACTCGGAAATGCATCGTGAGGGAATGTAGTTGAATTCCCACATTTACCAGGGCCATGTGGTGGAACTGCCATCAGCTGCTGCCCTGCTGCCTCAGGTCTCCGTAGGACAAGACCAAGGGCGGGCCTGCCTCTGCGGGAGTGGCCAGGCTCCTCACTCCAAATCTGAATCCTGCCTCGTGGAAACCTACAGGTGTTCTTTAAAATTGTAGGGTAGAGTAGCCTCTTTCTTGTCTGTGTTGCCTGGAGAGCCTCTGATTTGGCCAAGTGCAGCGCCCTGTAAAAACGTGCTCATTCCCTTGGAAAGGCTGAGGGGACGGGGGATGGCACTGGCAGAGCAATCAGTCAGCCCTCAGATTCTGCAGCAAGTCTCCCCAGCCTCCCTGCCTCCCACCACAGTCCTCATTATTTTTGAGTTTCTCATTTCCAGTCTGGGTGTCCAGCCAGTACTTTGGGAGAGTTTGGCAGCCAGTTCGGCTTCAGGCAAGCAGAATCGTGGCCGACTTGGCTCAGAAGTCTCTCACCACATGGAATCACTTATTCTGCTTCGATTAACAGGCAAAGCTGCCATTGGCATGCACCCCCATACCCTTGTGACTGATGGCATGGCATTTGGGAGCTGGCTCTATTCCCCTGAATATAATTTACTTTGGTCTTTGCCCAGGCTGTTTCCTGATCTAGCGGTGCCTTACTGCATCATCTTCTGACTGCTCCAAATTCACCTTTTCCAGTCAAGGTCTTCAGCTTTACTTTCACTCATGCAGGATCTCAGCATTTACACAAGACAAACAGACAAACACTCCTCTGTTATTTCACCTGTTTATCCTATGTCCCCCTCACCCCCAAATCCCTGCCCAAAATACACACATAGCTCAGTGTGCTGTAGGATCTTAGCGTGCAGTGCATAGGATTTGGAATCAGAACCTGGCTCTGAAATAGGGGCTGTGTGATCTCGGATAAGTTGCTTAATCTCTCTAGGCTTCATCTGTTCCATTCATTCATCTAACGAATATTTATTGATCACCAGGTGCAGTGGTGAACAAGACAGATACTCAGTCCCTATCTTCATGGAGCTCAAGGTCCACTTTACAGAGGAGGTGTGAGGATTAGTGGTGAAATAAAGCAGAATAGTACAAGAGAGTTGGCTTTGGAGGCAAACAAATCTTAGGTCTAAATCCTGGTTTGGCCCCTGTGGCCTGTTTTTTAGCTTGTTCACATTTTGTAAAATGGATAATATCTGTCTTAATAGTTTTGTGCAGGTTAAATGAGGTAATAGCCCTGGCCAGGTAGCTCAGTTGGTTAGAGCATCGTCCTGATACCCCAAGGTTGTGGGTGTGATTCCTGGTGAATATAAAGCATGCAACACATAGTACTCAATGAGTGGTTGCTGTTGTTATGCATTTGGAAATGCTTTGAAAACTGTGCATATGATAGGTATTTTAGCATTACCATTTCCTTCACCCCCCCTTTTCTACTCATGCAGGAATACATGGAATACATATAGTTTCCTTCGTCTAATGTTTGACAGCTGGCAATCTCTAAACGGGCACGATTGACTGAAGGGCTTTCCTTGCTAGGTAACTTCTGCATTGCTCTCTTCAAACCTATTTTTTAAAAATTATTGCTCTCCCTTTATATACAATATGGTTACATGATTGGAAATTCTGCCCAGCTTTCTACTAGATTAAACAAGTGAAACTTAGTTGTTCCTTTTCCTCAGAGTCCAGACGGTTCCTTTGCCTGTAAGTGACTGTGGAGTTAAATTGATTGGTCTAAATATTTCCAATTTTTGGAATGTTGGATTAGATCCTGTATCAGTTTCCTGTGCTTGCTCTAATAAATGATCCCAAAATTGTTGGCTTAAAACAACAGACATTTATTCCCTCAAAGTTCTGGAGACTTTAAGTCCAAAATCAGTATCAGTGGGCCAAAACCAAGGTGTCAGCAGGTCTGTACTCCTTCCACAGAGGCTCTAGGGGACAATCTGTTTCCATGTCGCTGCTAGCCCCTGGTGCCTGCCCACTTTCCTTGGTTTGTTACTCCATCACTCCAATCTCTGCCTCCATTGTCACACTGCCTTTTCCTCTTTTGTGTTTCATCAAATGTCCTTCCCTAAGGGCATTTGTGATTGTATTTAGAGCCCACCCAGATAATCCAGGATAATCTCCCCATTTTAAGATCATTAACTTAATCACATCTACAAAGTCTTTGCTGCAGAAGGTAACATTCACCAACTCCAAAGATTAGGCCATGGACTTCTTGACGGGGTATTATACACCCTACCACAGTCCTCTCCCAAAATCACTGTCACTTTTCAATCCTTTCCTTCCAAAAGGTCTCTGCACTGTGGTCTACTCAGGGGTAATTTCTACAAACTGAAATAGGAAATTTCAGATAAAATATTGTTCACCAGCTTCCCTATCTTCATAATAATGTGAATTTAGTCAGGCCAACCTATTCTCGCCATATCTATTTATCCATGCTCCCCCATCACAAAATTATATTTATTTTTATGATATAAAATTTTTATTGTCATTTCCTGTGTTGTTGGCTTTTTAAAGTTTTTATTCTATATTATCTACAAAGTAAAAGCTTTTTCTTAACTTAAAAGTTGAACCACTGTAAACAGTGATCACTTCATCAAACTTGATTTATAAATAATAATATGTCAGTTTGACGGTAAAAATTTACTGAACCTTTGTCAAGTGTAGTAAAAGGGTGTTCCGAGTCTTGATTTTAAAAAAAAATTTTTTTTAAGCAGTAATAGCAGAAGAATCACTCTTGTTACTTTTGTTAGCTGATGTGTTTGTGACTTTCGAAGGTAGGGTCTCCTGTGTTGTTTTAATATTTTTACTCTGGTGTATATGCAGTCTAAACCTCTCATTCCACTTAGACATTCATGTAATATTTTATCTCCTACAGTGATAACAGAAATTCCTCTTGTTGCTATTCAGGATCATGGTACAAGTAATTAAATATTCCCGACTATCTTGGTCTTTCTTCTCTCTTTCAGCCCAGCATCCATCAGTGACTCCCAAAAAACAATTGTAGCTGTCAGCTGTGCATTTCTCAGTCATTGCTACCCTCCCATCTCACTGTTCTTTAACTATTCTTATGTAAACTACTGTATCCATGATTCCTCACTGAAAATTTTATAAAAACTATGGGCACCCCCTCAACACACATAAATACTGATATGTGCACACACACACAATTTTCCTATTGTTTTAGGGGGATTTTGAACCCCCATGAAGCTTAACTATGGACCAGACCTTAACCCCTGTGTTAAGATTCCCAAATTGAAAAACACTGGTATCAGGATATCTACATTCATGCCCCCAACTCTGCCACAGCTGTGGGACCTCAAGCAAGTCACTTACCCTTCCCTCGCCTGAGTTGGACTAGATGGTCTCTAAAGTCCCTTTCAGCTCTAAAAATAAATGAGTCTATGAGCATTTTCAAATGCAGATCACAATAATTGCTTTTTTTTCCTGAGCACTTGCCCAATTTCCCATTTCATATTCTCATTTCTGAAATAAAGCTCCTTATTTCCTGGCTTTGGGTAATCATTAAAAAATAGCCCTGTACTCTGTTCCAAGAGGGATTTAACTGGATATAATATGGACATATGCTTTTTAATAGGACCTTCCCCATTATAGTGCTCTCCTCTCCTTCCTTTACTTCAGTATTCTCCCTGTTGTTTGCATGTAAGGAGAGTTGTCATCCCAAGCATTGTGTTAAATTGTCTCAAAGAGGGAACTGGGCCTGAAAAGATCTCAGTGGAAAGAACAAAGATGGCTAAGCTTTCTGGGCAGCCGTGACCTTTGAAGAGCCCCTGCCAAAAGGAAGGGTGGGAAAGAGAGTTTCCTTTTCATGCTGTCTTTTAATGGAAGAATGAACATTCTAAAAAGTCAGTTAAATATAGGGTAGTAGAAAAGAGCTAATGCTGCTTTTCAAACTATGGCTGGCACATGGAGTGCTTGCTTCAGTTGTAGAGCAGGTGAGATAACAGTTGTTATTGGCCACTAGATTTTTAACCCCTTGCTGGCATGGAATGTGTGTTACTTATATTTGCATCCCTAATGCCTAAAATAGAGCGAGGCACCTATTACATGCTCAAATTTTTGCTTAATGTGTGTGTGGTTGCCATGAAAATGTGCTGTTCCTATCTCTTGCTGCAGGGAGCATAATTGACTGACAGCCTTAAGCTGCTTTGCCCTCTAGGTCCATCAACACATTTGCACTGAGTCTACATATCCTGTAGGCTATTCCCAGCCAATGGCTGAGCACAGCGGGGGTTCTAACTCAGGCACATCCTTGTGAGATGTGGGACTCCTTTGGCATGAAGACTTCCCACTGGCCTGGCCAAACCTGTCTTAGAACTGTACTGCAGTCTCTCACATCCAAACCTCCTTCCTTCCCTCTCTCCTTGCACAGGTGTCAGACCTTCAGCATGGTCTAAATGCTCTCCCTTCTACTTCCTCCTCAATAAATCTCTTGCATGTCTACCCATCTTGATGTCTTTTCCTTGGCAGACCTGAACTAACACAATATAAAGGAATAAATGACAGATGTTTATTATAGAATTGTGCCCCTGAAACCTATATAATTTTATTAACTAATGTCACCCCCAATAAATTCAATTTTAAAAAAAAAGAAAGAATGAATGAGTCCTTGTTGTAACTTGGAGTAGAAAGTGGTCATGTTGAAAGATATTGGAGAATGAGTGTGATGATTCATTATTATGAGGCTTTAGTTAAAGCCGTTTAAAATGTTTGTACCCTAGAGTCAAAGTGGCCCTTTCCAAAGGCAAACTGACCTCATCCCTCCTTCCATTTAAAACCCTTCAGTGGCTTCCCATTGTTCTTAAGATAAAGCCAATACTCTATCATGGCCTGAAGATCCAACCTGGTCTGGTCCCTGCATCCTTTTGCAACCTCATCTTGTATTATACTTCCTCTCTCTCTTTTCTAGACACACTAGTCCCTCTATTCACCGTATTCCCTGCCGCTGCAGAGCCTTTCTACATGCCCTTCCTTCTGTTCAGAGCACGAGTCTCACCTTTTTGCCTTGTGAATTCATATACATATCTGAGCTTACATATCTCCTCATCAGGGTAACTTCTTAACTAAGTCAGATGTTCCTATAACATTTCCCACCAGCTACCCCTCCTTTACCGCACATATCACATTGGCTAATACCTCTCTCCCTCTTTAGACTAAGCTGCATAAGGAAAAGGAAAAGGAAAAGTATATGGTTTTGCTCACTATTATAGCCTAGCATCCAGCACAGAGTCGAGCACAGAGTACGTACTCAATACATATTTGTGAAATAACTGAGCCCAAGTCTTAGGGGATGCGGGCAACTGTTTGGAATACAGTGTCGGGTCCAGAGTTTGACTTTACCCTATCTATAGCTAATAAGTTAGCCAATTACTGTCTCGTGGATACTGGTGGAAGTCAAGAAATTCTGGGCCAGAAACACAGGATTTTATTGCTCATAGCACAGCAAGTAGCGTGAGCATCATGTTTGTTTGCATCAGTTCCCTATGCCTCTTAAGTCCGACATGGAAGCCTGTTCTTTGTCCCACAGAAAAATATTATCTCATCTGTCAAGTTTTCTTGCTGCAAACACAATCCTGAGAAATGGCCTAAGTAAAGAGCAGTAATGGCCTTGAAATCTTGGCATACCCAGCAACACTGAAAGGAGATTGCAAGAGACCTGTGGAAGAATATCTCCCAATATACAGTTTCTCCAAAAATTATTTATGTCTAGGGTAAGCCTCAGAAGAGAAATTCATTTCTCTCATATACATAACACATAAATAATATGTATATACTTATCATATATTATATATACATAATATACACATAGTATTCCAGGAGGTAAAAGGAATCTGGCCACGGGTTTGCTTGCTAGAAGCATAGGCTGAGAATGCATAATATGACCATATCTCTTTGCATGGCAGTATTACATCATGGTTAAGAACGTTGACTGCAACCAAGACTCCCTGGGATTGAATTCTTGCTCTGCTGCTTTCCAGCTATTACATCCTTGGGCAAGTTACTTAACTTCCCTATGCCTCATTTCCCTCATCTGTGAAATGGGGATAATAAAGGTATCTGCCTCATAAGGTTGTTGAGAAATGGGTGACATTCAGTAAGTGTTCAGTAAACGTTAACACTTAATGGTTATTATTATTGTAGGCAGCTGACCAATTGTGGAATAATCTACTTGTACTTCATCAGGCAGTGATAATGGTCTTCTGACCTTGGAAACTCTGCCTTCAATATTAGTCCTTCGGTGTCTAGGACTAATCAAAATTTGAACTAGAAAGGTAGGGGAGGGGAGCAGGTGTGCTCTGGTTTCTATGCAAATGGACTTAATCACAGTGTAAGTTTATTAATTTTTAAATGCTTTTAAATGGTGATAGGTAGGGAGCTAAGGAGGGTAGACTGTTAATGCAGGTACAGGTTACAGATCCTCTGGTCAAGCAGAGCGCCACGTGGAACTGTTCTCATTGCTGCACTTAATTGCTGCTCTCTCGTAGTGAACGTGGTGGAAGCGCTGCAGGAATTCTGGCAGATGAAGCAGTCCCGTGGGGCCGACTTGAAGAATGGGGCTCTAGTGGTTTATGAGATGGTTCCCTCCAACACCCCTCCCTATGTCTGCTATGTCACCCTGCCTGGGGGAAGTTGCTTTGGGAGTTTCCAGGTAAGAGTTGTAAAGCAGCAGTAGCAAAGATAATCGTTTTGGCTTTGAGTGGTGGGCACACGATGCAATATACAGATCATGTATCACAGAAATGAACACTTGAAACCTACATGACCCTGTTAACCAATGCCACCCTAATAAATTTAATAAAAGAAAAAAGATAATTGCTTAGGTGCTGGTAATGGCTTTCTCCATCACTTTGGCCCTTACATCTCTGTTTGAAATCACATGTTTAGGACCTGAACCAATTCTAGGCAAATCATTCTGGTAAGCAGCTGAGGCTCATTTGACCACAAAAGGACCTCAGTAGCATACTTTTCTTTTTAGCCTGGAAAAATTCAAACCCACTTTGAATTTGAACAGTGATTAATAATGCTCTTACTCAGTATATCAGACTGCCAGCACCTAACCCATGTTCTGATCTGGCTTTCCAACTTCCCTGCCATCTCTTTTTAAGAACACAGAATAATATTCCTTGCTCCAAGTATGTTTTCATAGGCATTTACTAAGAAAAGCATTATTTGAGTTCTCTAAGAGATCAAAGGGGAGGTACTATGAGTGGTAGAGATATTTCTCATCTAAGAGTTAGGAGATTCAAATTCTCATTCCCTTGACTGCTACCAGGTCAAGTCAAGTAACTTCTCTGGGCCTTAGTTTCCCCATCTCTAATATGAAGGAGATACGTTATATTATTTCTAAAGTCTTTCTAGTACTAGCATTCTGCAATTATATGAAAGACCTGTAACATGATGATGAAAAGAGTGGTTGCTATTATAGGGTAATGAGAAATTTGACTAGTGTGAATATTATCATCAAAGATAGATTCTTTACATTGCAGACAGGAAGGGAGCCCTCTGAAATGTTAACTTAGAGTCTAAATAGGAATTTAGAAAAGAGAATAGACAGTTTTGTTCTGTTTTCCATATGGTTTGGATAACCCTTAAACAAAGTTATAACCCCTGCTATGTGCTTCCATACACCTTGAACTTGTCCTGTCATATCACTCGTCACAACATATCATGACTGTTTATCTCTCCTAGTGGATAACACTCCAGGGAAGCAGAGATAGCATCTGTCTTCTTCCTTGTTCAGTATTATTTTTTAAAATTTATTTATTGAATTTTATTGATTTTTTTTTTTTTAAGAGAGGGAGGGAGAGAGAGAGACATTGATATGAGAGAGAAACATCGACCTGCTGCTCCCTGCATGTGCCCTGACCAGGGATAGAAACTGCAACCTGGGTATATGTCCTACCTGGAGCTGAACCTTTTGGTGTATGGGACAGTGCTCTAGCCAACTGAGCCACACTGAATAAAACTTGTTCAGTTTTATTTTTTTTTTAATTATTATTTTAAAATATGTCTTTATTGATTTTAGAGAGAGGAAGGGAGAGGGAGAGAAAGATAGAAACATCAATGATGAGAGACTCATTGATTGGCTGCCTCCTACATGCCCCCAACTGGGGACCAGCCCACAACCCGGCCTTGTGCCCTGACGGGGAATCGAACCACGATCTCCTGGGTCCTAGGTTGATGCTCAACCGCTGAGCCACACCCGGCCGAGCCCTTGTTCAGTTTTAAATCCCTACCACTAAACTCAGCACCCAGCACAAAGTAGGCACTTAATAAATCCGTTGCATGAATGAATGCCATTGCAGCTCAGTTCCTGCCTCAAACAGAAGCAGTCCTCAGGAAGCTTCATTTAAAATCAGATGACTAAATTTTCTCTTAGAATCCCCAGCCATTTCAGAGAAATAAACAAGTGCCCAGAATGACTAATGCTTATGCTTTCTCTTCTACAGAATAAGACCTTTCCTTCCCTTCTCCCACCTCATCATACTGCTGAATAAGGACTTGATTCTTTTATGGCAGTGCCCCAAACTGGACCGTTATAGTAATTCGATTTCTCTTATTTCCTGAAAGAGTAGGATTATCTCTTGTGGCCCCCTTTAGATTATCTGTTTTATATTCACTTTGGCAGCTGAAGTTTCTCCCGTTACCTTTTTTTCATAGATGACTTCTCAGAAACAGCACTAGATGATAGAATGGACAGCAGGCTAGTAAATAGAGAAGTGGAAACAGAAACAGGAGAAGCAAGAAGACTTAGGGTTAATGTGCCAAGCTCCGTATGCTGTTTCAGAGATCTGTCAGCTCAAAGAAATTGGGAATTACTGATAATTAAGGATGGTTAAGTAGCAAACATATCCTGGTCTACTTATGAAAATCGTAACATCACTTCCTTCCTTTCCTCTAATCCTAGTCATAAGTGACAAAGGGCACAGGGACCTTTAAGCAGCCAGGGAAGATGCATTATAAAGGGATACTGTGGTGCTCGGGGTCCGAAGTGGGATGATTTAAGATTTCTGAAAATCAGACTGTTCTATGGTACCTATGTTGGATGCAACGTAAAAACATGACTTTTTAACTTTTCTTGCTTTCCTCAGGTCAGCTTTCCTTCCCCTAGCCACCCCTCTTCTCCTTGTTTCCACTGCGGAAAAAGAAGACTCCAGATTCCTTTCCCAGGCCTTAGACTCTGTTCAGGGATAGCTCCTTGGTTCATTACACAATTGGGGGATCTGCTTGCAGCTAAAAGTAAAGGCCAAGAATCCCAGATGAGTGCTTCTGACAGATTAGAGGTCTCCGCTAAAGCAGCAGCCTAGACACAGCTTTGTTCTAATCTTAGGTCATCTAGAGGGATGAAAACGTCTGGCCTGTCCACAGAACAAGAGAACAGGATACAGATTTCTAATAGGTTGGCCAGAATCTGGCTTTTGAGTCATTAATTCTGTTGACAGTTTAAACAGGGCTATTTTTCAGATCCAGTGATTATATGCTGACTTCAGCAGCCTTCCTGATTCTTTCAATTTGGTGTGAGCTATAGCCATCTCTAGTTCTTTAATAACTTCAGGATGTTGAATCAAAATTATGTTCCAAATGCCCCCACCACTGTACAGTAAAAACGTTGGAGGGAGCATTGAACAAACTGATTTATCCAAAGAGTGTCCAAGTGTCTTCTATCCCAACTGTTTCCCTCCCATTGTTCCTTCTCTCTCTCAGGCGCACATACACGTATTTTCTCTCTCTTTACCCTGCCTAGTTTTGCCCCACAAAAGCTGAGGCCCGGCGGAGTGCTGCAAAGATTGCACTAATGAACTCTGTATTTAATGAACATCCTTCCCGAAGAATCACTGACGAGTTCATTGAGAAGAGTGTCTCTGAGGCGCTGGCATCTTTCAATGTAAGTTACTTGGACTTGGAAGGAAGGAGAGTGGGGATAGGAGAACTGGCTGGTTGGGAAGTCTTGTATACTCCTGGGGAACTCCTGAATTCTTGTTTTATTTCCTGTCTGCATCTCTGTTCTGTTTTTTCTGTTTTTTGTAGTACATGCTCCATATGTCTCAGTCTCTCATTCTATATATGTGTTTATGTTTTTGTTGCTATTTTGTTTCTTTAGTATATCAAAACCTTTGTGTCTCTTTGGTATCTAGAAACCTTTAATTCAAGATATATGGAATTTTAGAGATATTACAAAACAAAAATTGAGCTTGAATTTTGTTTTTCCCAGTTTTGATTTTAGACTTTAGTTTCTTCTTCCTTCACTGTTCCACTGTTCTTTTTTTTCTTTCTTTCATATGACTTTTTTTATTGTCACTTGTCTCCTGCTTCCATTACTTTATTCTATTAATAAAGAATATAAAGAATACTTTATAATACAGTGTGTCTTGGCTTTTTCCTTTCTAGGAATGGGGAGGATATGTTATTTACTCTCTCTAAAAAAAACATTTGTTGCCCTGGCCAGTTTGGCTCAGTGGTTAGAGCGTCGGCCCATGGACTGAAGGGGCCTGGATTCAATTCCAGCCAAGGGCACATACCTCGGTTGTAGGCTCGATCCCCGGCCCAGGTTGGGGCTTGTGCTGGAGGCAACCAATTGATGTGTCTCTCTCACATCAATGTCTCTCTCTCTCTCTTCCCCCCACCCTTCCACTCTGAAAAGCAGTGGAAAAACATCCTCGGGTGAGAGTTAAAAAAAAGAACATTTGTCCTTTCAAATGATGGTGATGATGAATAACCACAGCTAATCCTAACATTTACTTTATACCAGGGGCTATTCTAGTGATTTATATGTATTACATCTCATTTGATCTTTTTTTTTTAATCCTCACTTGAGGATATTTTTTCCATTGCTTTTCAGAGTGAGTGGAAGGGAGAGAGAGTGAGAAAAACATCGATGTGAGAGAGACATCAATTGGTTGCTTCCTGCACACACCCCATCCCAGGCCGGGGATGGAGCCTGCAAGCAAGGTATGTGCCCTTAACCAGGAATCAAACCCGGGACCCTTCAGTCCGAGGGCCAACACTCTAACCACTGAACCAAGCCAGCTAGGGCACATCTCATTTGATCTTAACAACAATCCTATGATATGTAAGTACTATTATTGCCCCTGTTTTACAGATGAAGAAACTAAAAACACAGAAGTGAAGTTTTGCCTAAAGTGCTAGAGCCAAGACTGGAACCTAAGCCAACTTAGAAACTTTTCTAGCTTAAGGAACTTTTTTTCTTTTTGAGTAGAGGGCGGCGCGGGGGGAGAGGGAGAAAGAGAGAGAGAGAGATTGGTTGCCTCCCCTACATACCCCGACCGGGGCAATTTAGGTACGTGCCCTTGGCTGGAATCGAAACCAGGACCCTTCAGTTCCAGGGCCAATGCTCTAACCACTGAGCAAAACTGGCCAGGGCTTAAAGTATATCTTAAAAGTTAACACCGCCTTCTTCCTCCCTCCCACAACTTCATTGACAAGGTGGTAAAGTCAGACCAATTTTCTGTTTCTGTCCTCTTTGCATTTAAGTTGTAATTACATGCACTAAACTGCTTCATTTACCTGTTTGTGGATTAGTGTTGAACGCTTCATTTATGTATTTTTTTAATCCTCCATGGAGGATATTTTTTCCACTGCTTTTCACAGAGAGTGGAAGGGAGAGAGAGACACACAGAGAGAAACATCTATGTGAGAGAGACACATTGACTGGTTGCCTCCTGAACACCGGGGCCAGGGATTGAGCCTGCAACCTCTGGCTGATGCTCTAACCACCGAGCAAACTGGCCAGGGCAATGCTGAACACTTTAAGTTGGCTTCCCATTGTTACCTAGGATACACCTGTTTTTCTCCCATTACTCTTTACCCCAGGCAGCAGTGTCTGCAGGGAATAAAAACACTTTTATATTAATCAAAGCCAATTAAAATTAAGAAAGTACATTTGTCACTAGTTATTTAATGTATTATAAAACAAAACATTAGTGCCCTAGCTGGTTTGGCTCAGTGGACAGAGCATCAGACCTTGGACTGAAGGGTCTTGGGTTCAATTCCAGTCAAGGGCACACACCTTGGTTGCAGGCTCGATCCCGGGCCCTGGCTGGGGTGCGTCCGGGAGGCAACCAATTGATGTGTCTCTCTCACATCGATGTTTCTCTCTTTCTGTCGCTTCCACTCTCTCTGAAAAGCAGTGGAAGAAATATCCTCAGGTGAGGGTTAAAAACAAAAAAACCCACATTAGTTTGGATTATAGGAAGCAGGGGTTGTGAGCATGGGCTCTGATTCTTGTTTTGAAATTATGATTCTACTAGCTATGTGACTTTGAGCAAATTACTGAATCTAAGTCTCAGTTTCCTCATCTGTAAAATAGGATAACAATTATACCTATCACATAGGATTATTGGGTAAAAGAGAATATATTCAGCACTTAGCACATGTTATCTATTTAGATGCCTGTGGATGCAAGTAATAGAAAATGTCACTTCAAATTGACTCAAGGGAATAAGGAAGGAAGTTTATTATCTAACATGACAGACAGGAAGTCCAGAAGTAGAGCAGATTTCAGGGCTGGTTGATTCTATGGATCAAGAATATCATCATCTGGCCCAAATTCTTTCCATCCCCACTCAGCCATCCTCTGGATATTGGCTTTGTACTTGGGCAGGTTCCCCTCAGGGTTCAAAAGGCTACAAAATTCTAGACATTCAGACATAATTACATTCAGAGACAGAAAGAGACCATCTTTTCTAGTTTCCCTTTAATAGTAAAGAATGTTTTCCCAGAAGCCCTCCAGCAGACCTCCCTTCTACCTCCCAATGGCCAGAATTCCCACCTTAAAACCAATTACAGCCCGGCTGGATGTGGCTCAGCAGTTGAGCATTGACCTAAGATCCAGGAGATCAGGGTTTGATTCCCGGTCAGGGCACATGCCGGGGTTGCGGGCTAGGCAGCTGATCAATAACTCTCTCATCATTGATGTTTCTGTCTCTCTCTCCCCCTCCTTTCCTCTCTCTGAAATAAATAAAGATATGTTTTAAAAAAAACAAAACAATTACAAAAACAAATTACAGGCACCAAAAGGGATTAGGATCTACCCACTCTTCCCTGAGGCACATAGGAGATAAGTAGACACTAGAACCCTATAGCAGGGGTGGGGATTGTCTGCCCTGCAAAGGCCTCACCAAAGAGAAGCAGTTCCAGCTATCGCATTAGGGGTGAGTTAATTAAAGTTTTGACCAAATATAGCAGGCTAATTTTTAAGTTGATTATTTTATATGGCCCGCATGAATGATGATATAAATATCCAAATGGCCCTTGGCAGAAAAAAGGTTCCCCACCCCTGTTCTAGTGTATGGAAGAAGGAAATAGATGTTGGGTAGGTCACCAGCAGTGTCTACTACAAAGTAAAAGTAAAGAAATGTAAGCAATTATTATTCTCATGCCAGTACTCTTCTTTGATTATCCCCAAATCGAGAACTTAATGGATTTCACATTAATGCCCCAATAGAATCCCCATTATCTAGATTAACAATTTTCTTTCTTTTTTAATCTTCACCCAAGGATATTTTTTCCATTGCTTTTCAGAGAGAGTAGAAAGGAGAGAGAAAGAGAGAAGCATCAATGTGAGAGAGACACATTGATTGGTTGCCTCCCACACCAGCCCCAACGGGGGATTAAGCCTGCAACTGAGGTATGTGCCCTTGGCCAGAATCAAACCCGGGACCCTTCAGTCTGCAGGTCAATGCTCTAACCACTTAGCCAAACCGGCTGGGGTCAGAATAACAATTTTCACTTAGTCTTAGCCATGGGTGAAGAGTGAGGACCACATTCTTTATTTTCAGCTTTTGTTCTTTAAAATTCCTGAATCTGACACTATATTATACTATGTCTTTTGACAAATCACGTAGCTTCTCTGTTGGTCTGAGTTTCCTCATTTGTAAAATAAGTAGATTGAATTAAGTGAACTCTAATTCCTTTCCAGTTACGTTCTAATGTTCCCACCCCTTATCAAGTATTCTGTGATTAAACGTTTATTGAATAAATGGAGTTCATTTATAACCATGTTAAGTGTACAAGTGTCATATGAGTTACAACTTCCCAACTGGTGCTTCATGCCACTCTGATGTACTCCAGATAGGTTACAGATGTGCCATGATATTAATCCCCTCAGCAGGGCCGGGGCAGGTGGACTCCTCTGCCACACAGCCTCTGCTGGCAGGCTGCTCTGTATATCCCAGTTGGCTATACAGGTATGATCATTATTGTCTAGGTACCATATCATGGAAAGTTTTGAAGATACTGAGTAAGGTACCATATTGGACAATTATAGGCAAAAATGAAAATGGTTGTTTCTTCAGAGCCCTAAGTGCTAACAGTGAAGATTACCCTTTTTTTCCTCCTCCTTGCTTTTCACTTCTAACTCTAAATTTTGTCATCTTTGTTCACCGCAGAGATTAACTACATGTGGCAAGATTGTTTCTCAGGAGCCACAAAACAATATGGGTTGATCTTGAGTAATTCTGACTCATTGATTCTAACACAATGAAAATAAATAATAATAGTTTGCTAGCACTTATGGTGTCCTTGCTAAGTGTCTGGCATTATTTTAGGTATGATACAAATACAATAAGACCCCATGTTAAAGTGCCCCACAATAAACTGAATTTGGGTATAACGTGACTGGTGCCTGACCTCTACCCAGGTCCCTTTCTCAAAGACAGCAGAATAAAAGTTCTTACTTGGGAGGTGGAGTGTATGGTTTGGAACTGGCTAGAAAGAACAGGCAACTTCTCAGGGAGCAGGAGGAGAAATTTGGGTCCCTATGTTCCCAGTAGTCTCCTGGCCTTACTTTCCTAGATCAGATTGACAAAAGGGTCACTGATAAACCAATACCCTTATTTTAGAAGTCCCAGCTAGCCCGAGGACCTGGAATTATCAATAATATTTTTTTTCTTTTTAATGTTTTTCACTGGCTTTTTTGAGAGAGAGAGGAAAGGGGAGAAAGAGAGAAAACAATCTATTACTCTACTTATTTATGCATCATTGGTTGATTCTTGTATGTACCCTGACCAGGGACTGAACCTGCAACCTTGGCATATCAGGACGACACTCTAACCAACTGAGCTACCCAACTAGAGCTCACTAAATAATATTAAACTACCACCAAATAGCACCAAACCAGAGCCAATACCAGTATGGATTTAGATTGTGTAACTGAACACCAGATCTAGTACAATTATGCACCTACATTGTATATGATTGGAGTTTTAAACGATATTATTACTTTTTAAATTAAAAATTTTCAACTTATTTAATTCTCAAAACTATCCTATGAGGTACATCTGTGATTATTCCCATTTTACAGATAAGGAAACTGAGGAACAGAAGGTTATATGACTGCACCAAAGCCATGAGACTATTAGGAGTTCCAGACCATGCTCTTAACTTCTATATTGTATAGTTTTTTTTTTCACACACCATGCTTACAGGTAGGACAATATATCTTAGTTCTAGCCCTGCAGACTCATGTCACCAGTAGAAGATACATGAGGCAAATGTTCAGGAGGCCAAACTGCTACCCAGAGTTTGCCATGCTTATGGCTCCTACTGTCTCCCTTTAGAACGCATTTGCCCAATTGTTCTCTAGTCTAGTCCAGTCTCACATACTGAACTCACTCAGTTATTTTGGCTAAATCTGGGCTCTTCTCTCTGTCTCAGTATTCTCCCTTGTAAAATAGGTAAAATCAGATTGACCTTTCTCTGTCACCTGAGTTAAAATGTGTGATAACTTTAGAGTCCTCTAGGTCTGTGCTGACCAGCAGAATAGCCACGAGCTACATATAGTTATTGAACACTTGAAATATGCTACTATGAACTGAGATGTGCTGTAAGCATGAGACACTAGATTTTGAAAAATCAGTACAAGAAAAATATTTCATTAATAAGTTTATACTAATTACAGATGAAATAATATTTTGCATATATTGGGTTAAATAAAATATGCTATTAAAATTAATATATTTTATATTAACTACATTTCTATTGGATAGTGCTGCTTGAGGAGATAATTCTTATTGAAAATCTTTATTCCTTTGTTACCAGGGCAACAGGGAGGAAGCTGACAACCCAAATACAGGGATTGGTGCCTTCCGATTCATGTTGGAATCCAACAAGGGCAAGTCAATGTTGGAATTCCAGGTACGATTCTATTTACTTCCTTGGCTCTAATAGCATGGGTCAGCCCTTTTGTATGTGTGTGTGTGTGTGTGTGTGTGTATGCCTGCTACTAATCCCTAATACATTGATATTCAACTGGAAAGGAAGGGAGAGCAAGAGGTTACAATATTTTTTTTTTTAATATTTTTATTGATCTTTAGAGAGGAAGCGAAAGGGAGAGAGAGAAAAAAACATCGATGTGAGAGAGAAACACTGATCGATTGCCTCTCACAGGCACCCCAACCTGGGATCAAATCTGCAACCTGGGTATGTGCCCTGACCAGAAATTGAACTGGCAACCTATCGGTGCACAGGATGATGCCCAACTGAACCACAGCAGCCAGGGCTAGAATATTTTTCAAAATATAAATATCTTCCTTCCCCCAAGGGCATTCAGAGTTGCTGTAAGAGATGCTTTGTACCCTGGCCTGTGTGGCTCAGTTGGTTGGGCATTATCCTGCGCACAGAAAGGTTGCTGGTTCGATTCTAGGTCAGGGCACATGCCCGGGTTTTGGGCTCCATCCCCAGTAGGGGGCATACAGGAGGTAGCTGATTGATGTTACTCTTTCACCTCC